GCTATGGGTCAGAACCGACTCAACGGCACTTAACAGCAACATTCCTGTTTTAAAAATGCTGAACATGTTCTTCCCTTTTATTTTTCTAATTTTAGGTCTTTGCACAATTCATTATAATATTTGACTTTGTCTTCTTGAACTGCCATTTAAAATTTTCTGTTTAACTCTTTTACTTCATCATTTCTTTTAGTGTCTAGATTCTCAACATTCAAGAGCAAGTTTCATAGTCTCTTCTGACATCTATTTTAGTGTTTTATGTCTTTCCTGTCTTTTTAATCACCTTTTGGTTTCCTCTTGGATGATGTTCTTGATGTCATGCAACACGTCCTCTGTTCTTTGGTCATTAGTGGTTAGTGCATCAAATCTGTTCATGGACTTAATTTTCTTCATCTTCAGCCTGAAATTGCATATGAGTTATTAGTGACCTGTTCTGTAGTTGCCCCCTGGCCTTGTTTTGGCTGTTGTTATTGATCTTCACCATTATTTCCTCTCATGATGTAGTCAGTTTGATTCTTGTGTGTCCCATCTGGTGAGGTTCACATGTATGGTCACTATTTATGCTGTTGAAGAAAAGTACTTGTAATGCAGAAGTTATTAGCCTTGCAAAATTCTGTCATGCTATGTCCAGCATCATTTCTATCACTAAGACCATATTTTCCAAGTTTGAATAATAGTCATGTTAACTTGTAGGCATATGGATATTATCCAATCACAGACAGCATTATACTTCAATATTGATCTTCAAGTGCTCTTTTTGATGATGAATGTGACATCATTCCTTTTGAATTTATTGTTTCCAGTATAGTGAACCATAAGATTTTCCAATTCAAAATAGCTAATACCAGTCCTTTTCAGCTCTCTAATGCTACTTTATGTATTCAATTTTATTTCTGACAACTTCCAGCAGCTCTTCTGCAGTAGTATTTTGAGTGCCTTCCAACCTGAAGGGTTGATCTCCCATCTCTATATCAGTGTTCCACTGCTCTTCATGAAGCTTTCTGTGGCTAATCTTTCAGAAGTGTTCACCCCTCCTTCCTAGTTTGTCTTAGTCTGGAAGTCTTTTGAAACTTGCCCACTGTGGATATTTAGAATTTTAAATACTAGTGGCACAGCGGCAACACACAAGCCACCACAGTGGGAGAAACTAACAGAAAAATGACCTGAAGATAAAGATATGTAAAACTGAAATTTTGGTTATATATGATTTTTGTTGCTCCAAAGCATTATTCTTCTTAGCCTGCAGTTCAGTGCTAAAATGGTATGGCATAGTCTTAGGAAATAAGAATAATCATTGAACAAGGACCCTCATTTTCTTAAAGAGTTGGCTTTCACAGTAAGGGTCTCTAGTCAGTAAACCAGGATCTGGCAGTAGACTTAAAATCGGCTGTGACTATTGCTGACATCATTCATTTCCATGTGAATTTCCAACAACATTTCTAAGGGAGTATATGTTGTGTGAAAATGCTTTCTTTACTGAGTTCCCACCTATCCACTACTCTGTTGTTTTGTTGTTGTTGTTGTTGTTATTGTTGTTTTAAGAGCCGTCGAGTCAGCTCTGACCCATAGTGACCCTGTATAGGGTTTCTAAGGAACAACTAGTGAGTTTGAACCACCAACCTTGTGGTTTCAACTAACTTTGCAGTCCAACACAATTAACCCACAGCACCACATCATTACTGTAGCACTCCGTATGTCCTAGAAAAGAGGTGGCCAACACTAGTCTCCATAGGCTCTAATTGTGCTAAAAAGCACTGTGTGAATTATGTGTGTATTCACCTTAGCATTTCTCACAAGAGTTGCCTGCTTTGTCATAGATAAGATAATGAAATTGTACAAACCAAAGAAATTATCTGTATTTCATATTAACAAATATGTTGTATATCATAAATGTGTATAAAATGATGTGTATAAAATGGGAATTTGCATGTGGAGAAACTATAATATTAAAGGTTCATTTATAAACTATCTGAATTTTGGTATCGAATATATGTGAAGAAGGCTTACTTTTAAAATATTTTACCCAAATTCATATTGAATACAGAGTCCTGGTGTGGCACTATAGGATAAGCACTGGACTGCTAACTGGAAAGATCAGCAGTTCGAACCTACTAGCATCTCCTTGGAGACACTTTACAGGGTTGCTGTCAGTCAGAATAAATATGGACTAAATTTTAAAAGCTATGTCTTTGATGAGATGTTTGTCAGTTTAAGAATAAATTGACTTATTGAACATAAATGTTATTTATATAAGTAATTTGATTCCCCGAATATTACCTAGTATTAAGTGTCTTCTTTACACCTAGAAAAAAAATAGACTCAAAAGTTTCTGTCTTGTTAATTGCAGATTGCTAAATCATCTTTCCGGACAAAAGACTATATATATTAAAAAATCTTCTTTTTCTACGCCCTTTTGTAGCCAGCAATTTCTTTAGTTTTTACCAGCCTCACTTAACAATTATAGCGAGTTTATTGAAGATACAAAAAATTTAAACCAGATGATTCAAGTAATTAATTAGCATAGCTCTGATTAAATTTTCTAGTTAATGAAACAATTTGTTACGATCTGAAAATTTGTTTTAATTCACGAGCAATGGCTAGTGGTTTAAGTAGGTGGATCCTGGATTCAATGTATGTCTGAACCCTGAACAAGTTAGATAGCTAGTCTCTTTGTCTCATTTTCCTCATCCTCAAAATTGTATTTATAATAATAATGTCTGTCTTGTAATGTTCTTATGAAAGGTAAATTAAATGATATATTAGAGCAAGCCACGTGTGTTACTTCCAATAGTAGAAAACTTTGCTAAACAAAGATATCAAAATGTGAAGCTGCTGTGTCTTGGCAGACTGTACACAGAAGTCTGTACACTTCTGGAGGGGGGTGTTTCTATCTCTCTCTTAACTCCTCCCCAAAGAATTCTTCACTCTTTAATCTACACCACATCAAAGTGGTAGTTTAGGCATCTTTGAGGGATTCAAGTCATGATCCTTTTAAATGTCCTTTGAAAAAACAGAAGTCTGAATGAACAAGATCAGTGCTGTAGGGTGGAAGGAATGTTTCTCAAGGAAATTCTCTTAGGACAGCCCTTAGTACCCCCAAAGAATGAGCAGATACCTTGCGATGAAAAAATATTCATAGGTGCAATTTTCCTGGCATTTTTCTAATCGGGGCTGTTTCCTTTTTCTTAAAACTTCATTAAATCTCTTTGATTGTCCCGTGTCCTTCAAGAAAATCTGTCAAGATTACATACTTGAGGTCCCAAATAACATTCACCATAACACTCGGAACTGACTAAATAGATCCTCTCAGAAGCCACTGTTTTGATTGGAACTTTTTTTAAAAGGCACTCTAAGGAGAGTAAGTTGAGAGTTACTGACAGCACTTGTCTGTAGCCATCCACTTAATTGCTGAGACATGTTTGATAACATTTTGTCTGAAATAAGTCTTGCATGTATGAATTAGAATCCTAGTAACGGTACCTTTTAACTTGACTTCGTATATAAAATGTTCAAACTAGTGCTTGACACTTAGTAAGTGCTCAAATATTTGGTATAATAATGAAAGATAATGTGATTATGTAACTTGTGAGGATGGATGTGGTATTTACTATGTAGTCTTAGGATTTAAAGAAAGTTCCCGAAATTTGTAAGGATTTAAAAATAATTCCATTTTTAAATAGCGATAGGTATTTCTAAATATTTTATTCTTATCACTGTTTTTTAGAAATGCTAAATAAGGCACAAAGTTTTAGTGATGAATGCCTACAAACATTTAGGTAGTTAGAGGTAATGTGTGGTTGACTAGGTAAAATGTGGCTCATTATTATTGACTACAGCTCAGATAGCTGGCTTCCCATTTTGTGTTCCTTTTATTAGCATCACTTTATTATTGTAAGAGATTTCTTTAATCAACATAGTCAGTCTTAAGGAACACATATCCCCTTTTTAGTGCAACCATATAAGAAACTTGAACATTTTTAATTAAAGTATATTTTTATTCTTCTTTTCTTCTTCATTTAGTCGAAATTCTGCATTTACCCAGGAGAGAACTCGGTTACGACCATCTTCCGTTGGACATTTGGTAGATCATGTAGTTCACACTTCTCCAAGTGAAATATTTGTGAATCACAGGTCTCCATCATCAACACAAGCAAACAGCATCGTTCTGGAATCATCACCGTAAGACCTTTTCCACCTACTTCCTAATCTGTATTTCAGAATGCCCCAGATTACCTCACTTAAAGTAATGGGGAGATTAGGATATTGGATAGAAGAGTCTATTTATGTGAGTTTAAGAAGTTTTTACATTTATAAATATGCTTATTTATACCCCTCAGAGGTTTTTTTTGTTGTTATTGCTTGTTTAATACATCTGAAAAGGATACATATACAAAGAATTAAGATATGAGAAAGCATTGGTTCAACACTATTGAATCTATAAAAATTAGGATAGTGAGAAGGTGGAAAAGATTGCCTAAGCATTTTAAGAAATTGTCAGCTGCAACTAAAATCAGCTGATAAAATTTCTATTAACACTTATAAAGAGTCTTTTGAAAACTCTTTCAATGATTTTTTTTTTTTTTTTTTTTACTTTTTTACTGTGCATTGAGTGATAGTTTACATGGGAGAACATTGGTTTTACAGTCATCCTTTCATTGTAGTGATTACAGTTTCCTCTGTGCATCATCATTCAACAATATTTGCTGCAATTTCCTCTGTTGTTTTTTTTTTGTTGTTGTTGTTTTTGGAGGAGGATGTGCACAAAAACACTCAGAAATATATAATAATTTAAACACCAAAGGGCACATTCTGTTAGCCTGCCTCCTGGCAGTCTTTCTCTTTCCATGAGTCCAGAGTCCTCAGCTGCTCCTCTCTCCATGTCCCCATCTTTGCCTCCATCTCTGGTGTTGCTGACTCTCTGGATAGAGTCCCACATTCTGCTTGGACTCTTCTCCCTTGATGGTCCCAGGGTCCTCTGTTCCTGGACTGTAAGATTAACTACTGCCCCCTTCTGTTACTAAACTTCTACCTTTACAGTTGTGACAGTTGCAGTTAGCCATGGTAACAATTATTTTCACTATTGAAACATAAGAATCTTATACCCATCTCTTTTCACCAGACCTGTCTAGACAAGATGAAAACTGTTCAGTGAGGACTCTTTCCCCACACACTCTGAAACTAAACTCCCTCTTGAAAACTTGTAAGCCAATCACTTCATGCCTTTATTGCCCCCTCGTTTTAGGTAGCCAATGTGTAAGTTACCCGTCCCTATCAACCCTGTATACCGAAAGGATAACATTGATACTTGATCTGAATACTCCTTCCCTCTCTTTTTTCCATGACTTTTTTTTAAATTAAAGAGTTTCCTATGTAAGACAGAAAGGGAAATTCCCCTTATCTATCCCCATTTTGTTAAATGTTCTCCAAGCCCCCTTACCACCCCTAGGTTCTTCAGGAAGCAGGCCTCCATTCCCATTATTTTAAAGAGGATGTGAAAACAGGCTTTGAAGGCTTATGTCAGCATAATTACCAATATTTATTTCTATCACACATAAATGTCTATCCTGCAGTAGTAGGCAGGGGAAACCAATATCCACAAGACAGCCAAACTCATTAACATTTTTCCCGTTTTACCTATTCAGCCTATCTTTTCAGAGAACACTGTTGTTTCAAGGTTGTATATAAATCACTGTTTACCTCTATCCTATTAGTCCATGCATGCCTCCCTAAGTCTTCCCCTATTTCATTATTCATCTGCCACCTTCCCTATTGTTGTATATTGCCCTCCCCATTACCTGAGATAATGTGTGTTGACCCTCTAGCCAGTGAGTTACATTCCCCTCCCTCCTATCCCTGAAAACCATCAAAGAATGTTTCTTTTAGTATGGAAACCTTTTCTTAAGCCTCTGAAATAATGGTCTCATGCAATATTTGTCCTTTTGTGATTGACTAATTTCACTCAGCATAATATCCTACAGATTCATCCATGTTATGAGGTATTTTGCAGATTCATCGTTATTCTTCAAGGTTGCACAGTATCCCATTATGTATTTACCAAAGTTTGTTTATACATTCTTTCATTGATGGGCATCTTTTAGCTATTGTGAATTGTGCTGTGATGAACATTGGTGTGCACATATCTACTTCTGGCTCGTATTTCTTGTGGGTATATGCCAAGTAGAGGGATTGCAGGATCACAAGGTATTTCTATTTCTGAGGAAGCGCCATACCATCTTCCATAGTGGTTGAACCATTTTTTAGTCCCACCAGCACTGTGGGAGGGTCCCAGTCTCTCCACACCCTCACCAGCATTTGTTGTTTGTTTGAACTTCACTAGTAATGTTGGTGTGAGATGATATCTCATTGTGTAGAGTCCTGGTATGGCACTGTAGGATAAGCACTGGACCTCAAGGTTGGTTTGAACTACAAGGTTGGCAATTCAAACTCACCAACTGCTCCTCAGAACCCCTATACAGGTCACTATAAGTCAGAGTTGACTTGGCAGCACTTAACAACAGCAATGCAAATCAAGAATATATCAAAAAAAATAATACATCACAGCCCTTTTTTGAATGATTGACCATTCCATGGTGAGTTGAACTTACTAGTGTTGTTTTTTCCCCTTTTTATACATGTCTACTGCTTGACTATAAGGAGCTCTGATAGCATAGTGGTTACGAATCGGGCTGCGAACCTCAAGGTCAGCAGTTCGAAACTACCAGCTGTTCCACAGGAGAATGATGCTCCTGTAAAGATTTACAGCCTCGGAAACCCTATATAGGGTCTCTATGAGTCGAAACCTACTCCACAGCACATAACCACCACAACCACCACCACTGCTTGACTGTAAATTAGGCCAGAAGGGTGAGTGGTAAATTCCTTTCCAGATCTGAACGGTGGTTGAAGTCCAGAGTATAAGGTACCTCCAGTCTCTTTCTGACCAGTAAACATGTTTTGTTTTTTTTAAATAATTTTGAATTTTGATCCACATTTGCTCCCACTATATTTGGGGCCCACTTATGTCATACAATTCAGAGCAGTTGGTTCTGATTCATAGAAACTGTGTATTGGGTTTCCAGGGAGTAGCTGGTGGGTTTGAATTGCCAACCTTGCAGTTACCAGTCCAGCAGTAAAGCCCAGTGAAGACTTGGAGAACAGTGGAGTTGAGCCAGACATGAAATACTGGTATGTCTTAGAAAAAATGGGCCTTCATTCCTGACAAGTTTATATTTGTGTGTATCAAGAATATGGCTTTTATTTTCTCCTGGGTTTGATGGATGTATATGTACAATTGGGTTTTGGCATTGTTGTCATTGTTAAAGTGCTGTTGAGTTGGCTTAGACTCATAGTGACCCTCTAGAGTTTCTGAGGAGCAGCTGATTGATTTGAACTGCCAATCTTGAGATACTTTCTCAGTGAAAGATCTTTTCCAGCTCTTATCTTTAAAAATAAATGATTGTGCCACATCCTAATACCTCCTTCTTTCTTTGCATTTCTGAGCTGAAATCATCAGGTATTGGCCATTTTGAATCTGACCATAACATGGTTTACAGTGCCAGGAATGACAAATTGAAGAGGAATGGCACAGCATTCATCATCATCTGTCTTGAAATACAGGCTGTCTGTGATAGGATAATACCTATACAGCTACAAAGTAGACCAAATACCACTATTATTCAAATTTACACACCAACCATTAAAGCTAGTGGTGATGAAATTTTGAAGTGTTCTACCAGCTTCTTCAGGCCAACTGATCAAACATGCAGTCAACATGTATTGATAATTACTCATGATTGAAGTGCAAAAGTTTGAAACAAAGACGGATCAGTAAATGGCAAATATGTCCTTCGTGATAGAAATTATGCTGGAGATTGCATGATAGGATTTCACAAGATTAAAGAGTTATTCCTTTCAAATGCCTCATGGACTGAAAGTGAGGCAGATGTGTTACTTAGAGAAAAATTGGGGTAGAATAATCAAAAGAAGAGGAATGAATGCCCAGGAGAACATAACACACACACTACTTCATTTCAAGATTCTGAGGTAGGATATTCACTCAGGTCTGTGTCCTGGCTTTGCCTTTAACTAGGCGCTAAACTGGAGTCCAAGGAGCTCTGGTAGCGTAGTGGTTACGAAATGGCCTGCTAACCTCAGGGTCAGCAACTTGAAATTACCAGCTGTTCTGCGGGAGACAGATGAGGCTTTCTACTCCTGTAAAGATTTACCGCCTCGGAAACCCTGTACAGGGTCGCTATGAGTTGGAATCTACTCCACAGCACATAACAACAACAAACTGGAGTCCTGGTGTGGTGCCATAGAATAAGCACTCGACCTTAAGGTCTGTTTGAACTGCAAGGCCAGAGGTTCAAACTCACCAGCCGCTCCTCAGAAACCCAATACAGTGTTGTTATAAATTGGACTGACTTGACAGTACACAACAATAACTTACTCATTTAAAATACCTGTTTTAAACAACATAAAAGGTGACTACACACATGGGCCTCATCAAATGGAATAAACAGGAATCAAATTGAGTACATATGTAGGAAGAAAAGCTCCATATCATCATTTAAAAAAAAAACAACCCAAAAACTAGGCCAGGGGTAGACTGTAGAATAGACCATCAATTGCTCATACACAAGTTCAGGCTGACGATGAAGAAAATTAAAACATGTCCATGACAGCCACAAGATGACCTTGGAACATATCCCACCTGAATTTAGACACCATCTCAAGAACAAATTTGATACATTAGACACCAATGACTGAAGACCAGAAGAACTGGGAGAGGACATCAAGAGCATCATACAGGAAGAAAGCAAAAGGTCATTAAAAAGACAGGAACGGAAGAAAAGAAAAAAATGGACGTCAAAAGAGACTCCAAAACTTACTCTCCAATGTAGCAATGCTAAAGCAAATATAAGAAATGAGGAAGTTAAAGACTGTTCAAAAAATTTCAAAGGGTAATATGAGAAGACAAAGTCAGTTATTATAATGAAATGTGCAAAGATGTGGAGTTACAAAATGGAAAGGGAAGAAAGAACAAGCTCAGCATTTCTCAGACTGAAAGAACTGAAGGAAAAATCAAGCCTCGACTTACCTCTGTTAAAGAACTCCATGGGCAAGATATAGAAGGATGTGGAATGCATCAAAGGAAGATGAAGGTGTACACAGAGTCACTGCACCAAAAAGAAATCATCAATATTCAACCATTAAAAGAGGTAACATATGATCAAGAACCAATGGTACTAAGTAAGTGAAAGCTGCACTGAAGGTATTGGCAAAAATACTTGCACTAAATACAAATTGAAATCTTTCAACAAACTGATGCAGCACTGGAGGAGGCACTCACTCATCTCTGCCAAGAAATTTGGAAGACTGTTACCTGGCCAACCAAGTGGAACAGATCCGTATTTGAGCACATTCCAAAGAGGTGGGTGACCCAACAGAATGTGGGAATCACCAAACAATATCGTTAATATTACATGCAAGTAAATTTTCATCATAACTGTTCAATCTATTAAATTCCTGGTGAGGCACTCTAGGATCAGTACTGGACTACAAGCCACTAGGTCGGCAGATCAAACCCACCATCTGTTCCTTAGAAACCCTAAATAGGTTTCCTTGTTGTTAAGTACCATGGAGTCGATTCCAACTCATAGTAATCCTGCACAGGGTTTCCAAGGCTGTAAATCTTTACGGGAGCAGAAAGCCTCATCTTTCTCCTGTGGAACAGCTGGTAGTTTAGAACTGCCGACCTTGAGGTTAGCACCCCAATTTGTAACCACTATGCTACCAGAGCTCCTTATAGGTTTCCTTAGAAACCCTATATTATTTGCTCAGCAAACAATCCAAAAAGAGCATGGCATCAGGATTGGAGGAAGATTCATTAACAACCGGCATGATGCAGATGATACTGAAAGCGAAGAGGAAGATCAAAGACTACAGCCTTCATTATAAGTTGCACCTCAGTATAAAGAAACTGAAGTCCTCACAACTGGACCCATAAATAGCATAACAAATAGAGAAAAAAATTGAAGTTTTCAAAGACTTCATTTGGCTTGGATCTGCAATTAGCACTCAAGGAAGCAGCAGCCAAGAAATCTGTTGTATTAGGCAAATCTGCTACACAAGACCTCTTTAAACTATTCAAGAGCAAAGTTATCAGTTTGAGGACTAGGGTGCACCTGACCCAAGACCTGATATTTTCAGTAGCTCTTATGCATGTGAAAGTTGAACAATGAGTAAGAAAGACTGTAGATTAATTGATGCATTTGAGTTACGGTGCTGTAGAAGAATATTCAAAGTACCATAGACTGCCAGAAGAGCAAATAAATCTGTGTTGCAAGAAATATAACCAGAATGCTCCTTAGAAGTCAGGATGACCAGACTTCTCCCAGACTTCAGTCATATTATCAGGAGCGACCAGTCCCTAGAGAAGAATGTTGTGCTTAGTAAAGTGGTTTGTTGTTGTTAAGTGCCACGAAATTAATTATGACTCATTGCTACCTATATAGGGTTTCCAAGGAGCAGCTGGTGAGTTTGAACTGCCAACCTAGTGGTTCGCAGTCTAGTGCTGATCCTACAGTGCTACACAGGACCTCCAACAAGATTGACACAGTGGCATATGCAATGGGCTCAAACATAACACCATTTGTGAGGATGGCATATGTCTGGGCAGTGTTCTGTTCTGTTGTGTATAGGGTCACTATGAGTCTGAGTCAACTTGACAGCACCTAACAACCACCATGTACATTGTAATAATTCATAAATATCTTCCCAGGGATGTTTTTTAAAGTGTTCTTTTTATAAGTAGAAATTGTTTACAGATCTGCTAAATTTACTACTCTAAATTCAAAGTTAAGACCATTGTCATTAAAGTTCAAAACAACTTTCTATTTTGTTATAATAAATGCATGTTCTCAAAAACAAAAACATACCATAGTAAATCATATATGTACTTTTATAGGATGGAGTGTTTATATGCTCCAGGAACATGTACAAATGAAATATATTAAAGTCTGTCACTGTTGTTGTTAAGTGCCTTCAAGTCAGTCTTGACTCAGTCAGCATGTATAGGATTTGCAGTGAGCAGGTACTGGGTTTGAACCGCCGATCTTGTGGTTTACAGTCCAGTGCTTATCCTACAGCGCCACACCTGGACTCCTGTCTACCACTGGACATTGAAAATATCTATAGATATTTGAATCCAGCTTTTAAAATAACAATTCTGTAAACCAACATCCAAAATATTCATCCTTTCCTTTTTTCTTATCTAGGTCACAAGAGACGCCTGCAGATGGGCTGCCCCCCGCTTTACCACCCAAACAATCTAAGAAAAACAGTTGGAATCAAATTCATTATTCATACTCTCAACAAGAGCTGGAAAATCATATTAATGAAACATTTGATGTTCCATCTTCTCCAGAAAAATCTACTGTAAGCTTCTTAAGTAGTCTTATATTTCTTTGAATTTTTTATCCTAAGTGAAATTTCTTTTGTACTTGTGAAATGTTTTAGCTGTAAATTATACTACTGTATTTTCTGTTGGCCATAATACTGTTTGGTCATGAACTGTGCCATGATGCAAAAAAAGTTGTGAAATCTTTGTTCTCATCTATAAAATTGCTGATTGCTCTAGACAGTCTTGAAACATTTGTGATGATTTTAGTCTCCTAAAGCACAGCTAGATTTCCAAAATAAATGCTCATAATGTGACACTGGATGATCAACACTGGATCATAAGGTCAGTTTGAACCCAAGGTTGGTGGTTCAAACCCAGTAGTTGCTCCTCAGCAACCCTATTACAGGGTCACTATGAGTGGGAACCAACTTGCAGGCACATAACAACAACAATTTATTTTAATATCGATGGCTTTACTATGTAATTCACTTAGAGCAGAGATTTTATCATTTTCATTGATCTTTTGAAATTGAGTACATCTTCTTAGAGTACATAAACAGTCTCGGTTCTTCGAAGTATATGTTTTACAAAGAATAATTTATTTTGGTATTTTTACTTTCGAGCGCATGCTTTTATCATGACAGAGTAAGTTGTTAGAATCCCTGGCTGAGGAACTTTCATTACTTACTCAAATAGATGACAGACAGAAATGTGGGTTATGTTTCAGGAAAGAAAGTGAAGGGGGGTGGGCATGAAGGAATAAGACATATAGAGAGAAGGATCCATGACAGGTACCGGTGGCATGTAGTGTAAGAAGTTTGCGCTGGCTACTGCGCTGTTAGCCCTCTCACATTGTCTAAAGTTGAAAATCCACTTTCATTGCTCCACCACACAGATATCGCAAAAAGATTTCAGAACCTTCACCAACGTGAATGACAACTTTGTTGTTGTTAAGTGCCCTTGAGTCGGTTCCGACCCAAAGTGACCCTTTATAGAGTTTCCTAGGAGCAGCTGGTGAGCTTGAACCGCCGGCCTTGTAGTTCAAACAGAACTTTAGCAGTATGGTAATTGTTGTGTGTGTTGTCTAATTCATTTATTATCACTGAGGTTTTGCTATGTAACAGACATTTTGGTAGATAGAGAAATAGGAAAACAAGACATTTTTTATTAAAGAAAATTGCTATTCTAGTGTGTTTATTTATTGATTGAAAAATTACTTGCTGAGTTCAGCCTGCTGTGTGTCATCCATTGTTTAAGGTCCTGTGTTAAGTGAAGACACTGGAATATTTCATCTCTGATCTATGGCTTTTTTCTTTTTTTTTTGAGTTTATTGTGAATTGAGTGATAGTTTACATAGGAGAGCATCAGTTTTACAGTCATCCTATCGTATTTCGTTTCATTGCAATGATTACAATCCCCGCCATGCATCATCATTCAACAATATTTGCTTCTGTTCCCTCTTGTTTTTTTGGATGTACACAAGAACACTCAGGAATATATATCATTTAAACAACCGAAGGGCACATACTACAAGCCTGTCTCCTGGATGACAGCACACAGCCTTTCTCTTTCCATGAGTCCTGAGCTGCTCTATCTCTCCTTGTCCTCATCTCTGCCTCCATCACTGGTGTTGCTGCTTCTCTGAATAGGGTCCCACATTCTGCTTGTGCTGTTCTCCCTTGATTGTCCTAGGGTTCTCTGTTCCTGGACTGTAAAATTAACTACTCCCCCTTTATGTTACAAAACATCTACCTTTACAGTTGTGATGATTACAATTAGTCATGATAACAGTTACTCACTATTGAATCATAAGAATCAATCTTATCCCCATCGCCTTTCACCAGACCCATCTAGACAAGATGAAAACTAGTGGGGATTCTACCTTCCCCCACACACTCTGAAACTAAACTCCCTCTTGAAAACTTGTAAGCCAGTCTCTTTGTGCCTTTATAGGCTCTCCCCTCCCACCTCCATTTTAGGTAACCAGTGTCTTAGTTGCCCTATCAATCCTGTGTACAAAGGGGATAGGATTCATCCTTGATGTGAAGATTCCTTTCCTCTCAGTATCATGAGCTACTGCATTCATAAGTATAGGTCAGATTCATCAAATTGTAGCAATTTACACTTGTTTCCTTCCATTATCAAATTTTTTCATCTTCCTCTAGTTAAATTCTGATCATCCAGCCATTGAAGCTAGGTCAAATGGATACTATCTGCAAGTTTGGGTGTTCTTGTGTATCTCCCCTCACTTCTCATCAACTGGATGCTTCACTCTCATGTCCTTGTCCTTAGGCTCAGGTGTCCGTCCCCCAGGTCTCACCATACTTCGGACCAACCAGCCCTTCCTCTTCTCTCTCTCATCACCAGTCTGACCTGTCTCTCTCTCTCTTTTTTTTTTTTTTAATGTTTTATTATGAATTATGTGAGCGTTTACATGGGAGAACATTAGCTTTACATTCATCCTATCATATATCGTTACACTGCCATGGATACAATCCCCTCCATGCATCATCAAACAACCAAATAGTACACCCTGCAGGCCTGCCACTCAGTTGTCAACACACAGCCCCTCCCCCTCTCTGGGTCTAGAGTCCCCAGCCACTCCATCACTCCTGACCTATGTCTTGAAGGATGAATCTGAATTAATTAAATACAGCTGTTGTGGAGTGTAGTGGCTCTGTAGAAGAAGCTCTTCTCTACAGAGAATTGGTGGTTCAAGCCCATCAGCCTCTTTGCAAAAGAAAATAAGGCTGTCTGCTCCCACAAAACTTTACAGCCTTGGGAATCCTATACAAGGTCGCTGGGAGTCAGAAGTAACTGGATGACACCTAACAACATCATCAAAATACAGCTGGTGGTGAAATCAGTTCAGTTACCTTGGTTCTCTGGAAAAACAGTTTCAGAGATTTTTTTTACCCCTAAACCCTGAGGGATTACTTTTGCCCTGAGAGTTTGTTTGACATTTTAAATAGTGGTTTGAATATTCACTGAATAATATTGAGTGACTGAGTTGAGGCAAGAGAATAAGTCTACATGTGGTGCTACTGGGTGGGGCATGCCTAGAAATTGACAAAGGAATGTGCTTCTATAAGCAGCCAATCCTACACAGGAGTTTAGAGACAAGTAGCAAGGTGGGAACCGCAAGACCATGAAGAGCCTGGATAAGAATGATTTGGGCCCAGGCTTCCTGCAAAAGGAACCTCCTTAAGAGCTATAGTACAGGTCAAGAGGTATGACACTGAAGACAGAAAAAGACTTGGAAAGTGGCCCAGTGGCAGAGGCCAACAGCATGTGGCTATAAGTTCGACCAATTAGCAGGGGAAAGGTCAACAGTGTGGAAGCGAAAGGCAGAGGGCCCATGGAGGCCAAGAATGGTCTGTAAGCATGATTGACAGAAGCTGAGCAAGCTAGTCTGGGGAGAACTTGTCCTGTACTAAAGAAGGGAGGGATGCTTTCTACCGCCAGGGAGTCCCAAGTTGTTCCTATTACTTCTTAGTTTACCCTGATCCCAAGTTGTGGCTTCTTGTTGTTAAGTCCCATTAAATCGATTCCGACCCATAGTGACTATATAGGGTTTCCGAGGAATAGCTGAACCACCAACCTTGTGGTTCAAAGCGACCTTGCAGTCCAGCACATTAACGCGCAGCACCACACCAGGACTCATGTTATAAATGATCAGTGGAGGGAGGTACTGACATCTGCCTCATGAGAAACAGCTTTGTGCCAATCCTGATTCCTTCTTTCTCCTGAATTTAGGCATGTCTTTACATCCTGTTAGAAAAGACCATACATTGTATGATTCCACCCAGAATGACAAAATCTATAGTGACAGAAGTATCTTAGGACCAGAGAGGTCGAGAAATAATGAGGAATGACTGTTAGTGGGTACAGATTTATTTGAGGGATTATGGACATGTTTTAAATTTTATTGTAGTGGTGGTGGTACACCTCTGTGACTATAGTAAAAACAATTGAATTGTACATTTTAAATGGGTAAATTACATAGTATGCGATTATATCTTCATAAAACTGTTTAGAAAAAAGAGCACTCATGAAGCGGAAGGAGCAATATGTAAATTCACCTGACACCATGAGCACTTGTTATATGTTAAGTTTTGAGCTAGGTTCTAGGGCTATAACAATTAATTAAACAATTAATATAATGGTTAAACAGACACGCCACTCTTTCTAGCACTTAGAGTCTAGCATGAAGTTCCAAGGAGGTGTGAGAGAATATCGCTAATGAAGGAAACTGCAAGTTATTATTCAAGGAAACTAACTTTGCTGAACTAGCATTGTGATAAAATTATGGATTTTTATATACCATAGTTAATATCAACCTAAAAAAAGGATGCTTCATGTTTATCTGAAGGACAGATTATAAATGAAAAAATGATGTTATTTCTTTTTGTCTTCTTAAGCCTAATGGTGGTATCCCACATGACAATCTGGTTCTAATCAGAATGAAACCTGATGAAAATGGAAGATTTGGATTCAATGTAAAGGTAATCTAGAATTTATGTTGTACTCAGTTTTTTTAGCTAAGAGTATTGTTTGTTAATGTTTGACTAAATACTCAACTTGCTCTGTTGTTAAGGGAGGATATGATCAGAAGATGCCTGTGATTGTGTCCCGAGTAGCACCAGGAACACCTGTGAGTTATGGAAATTTTTCAGTTAAAATCGATTTTCAAGAATTATGCATACTTTATCATTTTTATTTGTTTAAATAAAGGGAAAAAATTAAACATTTTAAACTTACGAAATATTGTTGGCTTTAATGTCTAAGGTTAGGTTTTATTTGTTTTCTATAAAAGTGTTAAAAAGCTATGCTTTTACAAACATGTTATATGATTTTCTGATTCATAGCAACTCCATGTGATAGTGTTGAACTGACAGTTTGGTTGCTATACAGCAAAAAAACCATACAGTACAGTTCAACACCATCAGTTGCTATGAATCAGAATCAACTTGATGAGAGAATGAAAGAAATTCTATCTTTCATAGAATAGAAAACGTAAGAAAAACTTTATGGAAATGCTATTTGTTGTTGTTGTTAAGTGCTGTCAAGTCCAGTCCAACTCCTAAAACCCAGTTTAGGGTGTTTGAGGTGAGGCTGGTGGGTTTGAACCACCTTCTTTGTGGTTCAAACTGACCTTGCGGTCCAGTGCATTATCCTATAGGATGGCACCAGGTTTCCAAATGCTGTTTACAGATGTAGAAATAACTACCAAAAGATGTAGTTAAAATGTTGAAGTTGACTCCAGAGAGGAATTGGTAGGGAGCAGCATCAGAAGAAATGCATCTTAGCAAACTTATAGACCTAGTCTGTGTATAACACTTTTTGTTTTCTGAAAACAAAAACTAAAGTTTTTTACATCAAATCCATATTTTTTAACCTAACAATTTCATTTTTAAGAACTGTCTCTAACAAAGTAATTAGACTAGGTAACAATATTTTATAAGTGTGTTCCTTGTAGTGATTTTAGAGTTAAAAATTTAAAGCAATAAAAATTATTTTATTATTGATAAAATAAATTACACATTGAAATGATAATGTAGGTAATATAGATAACGTGGTTGGTAGTGGTTGTGTGCCACTGAGTCATTTCCAACTCCTAGCAACCCTGTATAGAGTTCCCAAGGCTGTAAATCTTTATGGGAACAGAAAGCCTCCTCTTTCACCTGAGGAGTGTCTTGATAGACTCGAACTACTAACTTAGTAGTCCAGGTCGTAATCCACTATTCTATCGGAGGTAGTTCTATATCAATAGGAAATATTAAAATATTTTGGGAAAATATGCCATAAAATATTCTGGGAAAATGCAAGTTATATTTCCATATATATGCTTGATTCAACTTTTTAAGGTATGAATAGAAAAAGCCTGGTAGCAAGTGTATGCTAAAAATTTTAGCAATGTTTCATCTGGATGTGGAAGAACTGGTACTAGTAACATCTATATCCATTTTTTTTAAAGTTTGTAAATCCTGACAATGAGCATGTCTTGTTCTGATAATTAGAAAAGATAAGAAGCCTATATGCCAGTTATAATAGGGAATAAGATAAATGCTAATTTTCTGAACAGTGAATATGAGCAATTTTCAGTTAAGTCAAAGATGTACAGAGAATAAATTTCCTTTTAGATTGAATAAAGTATTGTTCATTTTTCCTTTTTGCCAGGTAGAACTATGTCCTACTAAATACTGACTGAATTTTGAATCAATTGAAGTGATAGGAATTAATAATTTTCATTTTATTAATTTATAGCCCACCACAGTCTATATGGAATACTGCTCTAGTGCTGCATGATAAACATTGGACCACAAGGTCTGATTGAGCTACAAGATCAGTGGTTCCGACTTATCAGCTGGGCCTCAGAAACCCCATATAGTTCACTGTGAGTCAGAACCAACTCTCTGGCACTTAACAACAATAGTCTTTATGTTAGAAACTACATTTTGAATCATTGGAAGAGAATAAAAGGGACAGAGTTGGAAACTTTTAATGCCATTTTTATATTAATACCTTCTAAAATGGTAAAAAGTAATTCTAGATGAAAGTTGTTTTTCCTCCTCTTACAATCTAAGTTAATAGCTATTGCTCCAGAAAGATTCATATGCAGTTTTCTAGACTGTCCAGACCAGAGTGAAATGCAAATAAAAAATTTACCTGACAAGAGGCAGGTTAAGTGTAAGCTCATTTACTTCAATGTTTTTTTTTAAATCCTCATGTTATATAGCATGTTGGTTAGTATTAACCCCTATTAGCCCAAATCTCTGGGAGTAAAAGATTATGTTAAATAAAGACATGAATGGATTTATGCACAGTACAGTAAGAGACATTCATAATCATCCTTTCCCTAACACCATAGAATTCCTCTTTTCTATCAACTACACAAACCATAAAAGTAAGGGGAGAGCTAAAACCCATTACTTTTCTCCCGGTATCAGTAATATCTCCTAGTTCATCCTTTTTATCAACAGAAACTTGGGGCCCATATAGAAAAGCATCACACTGCTAGTACTCAGAGTTGTTGTTGTTATGTGCCTTGGAGTCAATTCCAACTCCTAGAAACCCTGGACAGGGTTTCCGAGGCTGTCAATCTTTATGGGAGCAGAATGCCTCGTCTTTTTCCCACGGAACAGCTGGTAGTTTTGAACTGCTGACGGTGAGGTTAGCAGCCCGATTCGTAACCACTACACTACCTGTACTCAGAATATATTAATGTCTGTCAGCTGCTTCACTACAGAAAGAAGCAAGTAGAGAGTGGTTATAACCTGGTATTTGAATTTTCTACATTTTAAAGCCTTGTCAAAGCATTTTGTCTTCACCACTGTGAAGTGATCAGGGCAGGTAGCTTCTCCATTCTCATAGTTTCAGGTATCTAAAATTATGCGGTCCATAGGAGCAGAAAAAACTTCACTCCTAGACCAGTGCTCTTTCCACTAATGATTGTTGGGTTTCATTTCACTGTGTTTATAATCAGACTCTTGATGTGATGCTATAGGATAAGCACTGGACTGCTAACCACAAGGTTGGCAGTTCAAACCCACCAACCCTCCTCAGAAATCCTATATAGGGTCACTGTGAGTCTGAATCATCTCAACAGTTCTTCACGACAACAGCATGTTTACAATGACTTTGACAAGCTGTGCTTTTATTTCTTCATGCCTTTTTTTAAGTCTCTAACCAATTTATGCTTGACACTTGATTCCCATTATCTTCTCATTGCTGTCTTCTCACTATCCATATTTCTGTTTTTCTTTTTTCTTATACCTTGATTATTTGTCTTCTTGATCATTTATAAATAGTCTTTACTTTGCTCAGTAGCACGGACTGTCAGCTGAAATCATGCAAAGTGGTATTGATACTAGTGGGAAAATTGATTGTTCCCATCTTTTAAATTTTTTGTCAAAACATTAAATGGTCTCTCACTGGCTCTTATTAATATATATTGAAATATAAAATACTAAAACTAATATTGATTTAGGTATACTATAATTCAAGACATTAGACACATTGAGGACTTTACTTCTATGTGAAAAATGTATCAAGGTTAAGTATTTGGAACAGTGCTTTCCTCCTTTTCATCCCTACAATACAAAGTGAGCTGCTTTTCCTGCCTTGACGAATTGTCATCATTTCTGCTTTTTAAAAAATAGATACATGAATTTCTATATGTAGTTTTACTTCTACTCTTGGAGGATCTATAAACATTAATTCCTGTGCTTTATGTTCAGAAAGTTCCATGCAAATTTGAAACCTTATGTGCCTTAACATTACAGGCTGACCTCTGTGTCCCTCGATTAAATGAAGGGGACCAAGTTGTACTCATCAATGGTCGGGACATTGCGGAACATACCCATGATCAGGTTGTCATGTTCATTAAAGCCAGCTGTGAGAGACATTCTGGGGAACTCCTGCTGCTTGTTCGACCTAATGGTAAGTACTCTAGTCATATCACATAGCTTTCACAATTAATTGGCATTCATTATGTACATATTAGCCACAGTGAGCTTTTTAAAACTTAAATGTTATCTAGTCCGTTTCCTACTCAAAACACAGTGATTTCTCACACTTGAAGTAAAATCCAAATTATTGGTACACTTTTCTACCACTCAGCTCTACTTACTCTTCTCTAGCTACAGTAACTTTCTTGCTGTTCCTCAAATGTTCCAAGTTGTTTTACTTTATTTAGGGTCTTAGTACTTGTTCCTTATACTTAAAGTACTCTTCTTGATTTTGGTTTGAACTTATACCTTCACTTCTTATTTGTCTGTACTCAAATGTCATCCACAGACAGGTCTTCTCCTCTTAATACTATAGTTAAAATAACTTCCTTTTCCCCTTAGTTGCTTTAGTAGTAGTAATAACTGCTCAATAATGAATGAATGATGAATAAATTTTTGACTCTGTTTTGCTTTTAGAAAACTACGAAACAGTATACCACTAAGTTGATGGTGTCCTGTTAGCTAACTATCTTATCTTCTGGTCTGAACAGCTGACTAATTCATAGTCCTAGGTATGAGAGACCTGAAACTCCCTAAGCTAGCTCTTTTGCTAATGCTTGTGTTCTAAACTTCAAGAATATCCTGCCGATAATGGAGCACGCATTGACTTCCAAAGCAGTTCATTCTTCCTTTAGATGGCTTGAACTATTAAATGGGGGTGGGGGAGGAGCATGAATTCTTTCAGTCCCACTGTTGTTAATTCTTTCACTTTGTATTCAGAATAAGTTTAATAACTCATACATTTTTTTGACAATAGCTGTATTATCTTACCCTCTTTCTCCAGTTTAATAGTCTCAGATCCTTCAACCCCATTCAAATAGCATTATTTCAGGTTCACTCAGGTGGGGCCAGTCCATGGTAAAGTGGAGGGTCAGAGAAAAAGAGGAAAGTCCCCAATGAAATGGAGTGATACAGTGGCAGCAGCTACGGGCTCAAATATAACAATAATTATGATGGCACAAGACCAGACAGTGTTTTGCTCTGTTTTGCATTGTGCACCTATGCGTTAGAACCAACTAGACAGCACCTTACAACAACAAAGTCTGTTTCATCTCACTGATGTCTAGAATATCAATCTCAATACTTTCCATTTCAGTCTTAATGATTTCCAAATTTTCAAAATTCATACTTTGTACAATCCACATTCTTATTATTAATGGATGTTTGCAGTTGTTTTCTTATTTTGAGTTGTGTCTCATCAGCAAATGAAGGTTCTGAAAACTTTGCCCTATTTGCATTATGGAGGTCAACTCTACTTGAGTAGGCAACTCTTCCCTAGTTTGATTTTGAATGCCTTCCAACTTGAGGGTTTCATTTTCCGGCATTATATCTGACAGTGTCCCACTGCTGTTCATAAGTTTTTCATGAGCTTACCAGTCAGAAGTGATCCACCTTTCTTTCTTCTTAGTCTTAATCTGGAAACTCCACTGAAACCTGTCCACCATGGGTGACCCTGCTGGTATTTAAAATACCAGTGGCAAAACTCCAGCATCACAGAAACACAAAATCCACCATAGTACAACAAACCGACAAACAAGTGGTGCAATCTGTACCATAGAGAAATAAATAAATAAAGTGTAATTAGAACTCTACCTATCACCCAGCACTCCTGATACTGCAAAATTTTCTAAGTACAGTTCCTTTTCATTAAAAATAGCCTTCTGTTGCCTATTGAATACAAATGGGCATTTTCTTTTTAATCTAATCTGTGTTTTTCTCCTGTAATGATCTAGAATGGACTTTCTAGAAAGATTAAAAGTATTTCATTAGAACATTCTATTTGACATTTCAAGGAACTTGTTTATTTCTACATTAAACTTATGTGATTCATTATTAGTTATTTTCTCTCATATAAAGTAATTTAAATGTGATACTTAGAATAATTTTTTTCTCTAGTTTGTTTTTTCTATGTTCTACTGATAACAGGTTCTGAAGGACTTACAATTAATGTTGTTGTTGTTGTTAGGTGCTATTTACTTGATTCTGACTCATAGGGACACTATGCACAACAGAACGAAACATTGCGCACGGTCCTGCGGCAACCTCACTATCGTTGCTACTCTTGAGCCTACTGCTGCTGCCATTGTTTATTCTTGGACAAAATTTATATATATCTTTTTATGTTGTCATTGTTACTTTCAAAGAAATTTACTCTCTCAAATGTACATATATATTCTCAGCCCTTACTTAGAAAAGGGGAAAATGCCTTTTCTAGATATACCCTTAGACAAGCCTTCCTATGTACCATAGGTTTGAACGCCCTACTCTGGTTCCTCTCCAGCTTCATCTCTCCCTATGGGGTCAAGAGATTAGAGTCAAGGGGGCATGCCAGCCCATCAGTTGTGACCTTCCCTCTGTTCTCTGCCCACATAGCTCTGAACCAACTTCCTGGGCTTGTGTGAGCCTCTTCTCTATATCCATTCTCCCAATAGTGGACCACAGGGTATGTACTTCTTGGCCTAACGGGCAATTCAGAGGCTGCAGTTTGATGAAGAATATAAATGGAAATTGCGCATGCCACATATGCATTTGTAGACCCCACTGTATTTTGTTTTTTTTAATGGGGCAAAAAGTAGAGTGGGCTGCAAGCTAGAGTCTAGACTCTGACTCTACACCACCATAATAATGAATTCTGAAGTAGAATTCTCCATGGAAATCTAACTTCCCAGTTTGTTTCAACAATACGTTTGTCCAGGAAGGGGGATAGAAAACACTTTAATCCTCTGTTCAATTTATTTATTTATATTTTTTAAGGGTTTTATTGTGGATTGAGTGAAAGTTTACAGGGCACATCATCAGTTTCACATTCAACCATTCATATGACTTGTTTCATTACATTGATTATAATCCCCTCCATACATCATCAGTTAACAACAGTGTTTCTCTCTATCCTCTTTAGCTTTTTTTTGTTTGTTTGGGGGGTGGGGTGGGGAACTTTGCCTTTTTGGAATTTACAGTCTCGGCTTTTAGGGAAGGTTTTTACATTTATCTGTGGATATCCAGGGCTCATGTATGCGATTACTAACAAGCATAACTGAATAATCAGATGAGGGACATTTTGCTATGTCTGCTAGGTGGCTAAAGTCTGATCCTCAGAGCCTATGGTTTGGCTGTCTGCAACGCTTGTGTTCAATTTATTTTTAACTTTTCACTTTTAAACATATGGCATAAGAACCTCTAGTTGTAGTCTTGCCCTTCTTATGTTAAATTCAGGTGTTTTCAAGAACTGATTTTTCAGCAACTCCCCTTTTTCTTAATGTTTTTTTCCATGTTTCAGACATTTTCAACCATAATATTAAGAACCTTATTTTTCTTCAAAGGTACAGCAAAACTTTTCAACTCCATAGCCATGCTCTGTCTCTACAGAGTGACACCAAGTCAGCTCTGTTGTGATTCTTCTTAAATGATTTTTCCAGATACAAATCTATAGGACATTACTCATAAATGCATATTGCCAATTCATTAAGCTTTCTATGTGGTGTTTTTGTTTTTAGCTGTATATGATGTAGTGGAAGAAAAGCTAGAAAATGAGCCAGACTTCCAGTATATTCCTGAGAAAGCCCCACTAGACAGTGTCCATCAGGATGACCATTCCCTGCGGGAGTCAATGATCCAGCTAGCTGAGGGTCTTATCACTGGAACGGTCCTGACACAATTTGATGTAAGTAATATTACTGTATAGAAAAGGTATTTGCCCATTTTGCATAAATGATTTCATGGGGTTTTATTCGTATTAAATAATATTTCATTGTGAGTCAGTTGAAAGCTTGCATAGCAGTTTTAGTTCTCATTGAATAAATTCTACACAGGTTGTTCGGTGACATTGGTTACATTCTTTACAATGAGTGAACATTCTCATGATTTCTATTTTCTGACTGTTCTGTTTCCTTTAATCCAGTTTTCCTGCCCCCTTACATTCTCATCTTTGTTTTAAAGTCATTGTTGATTGTTTGATCTCATGTAGGTGGTTTCGTTTCATGGCTTTTTAACTGGCTAATTCTATTATTTTTAATAATTTACAAAATAAGATAATTCCTAGAATTATTATAGTTGACATAAGGAATTTAAAAAGCAGCATTTTTTAAGCTGCTCCCAAGATTCTAGTTATAGTTACATAAATAGATTTCTGTTTTAAAGTGAGGGTTAAGGAACTTTTATACATCTGTCATCAAACTAAACTTTTCTTCTGTTCTTAAATAGTTTTAAGGACAGATAACAGATGAGAAGAGGCTACTATATACTTTAAAAATATCCTGAGTTAGAGGAAAATAACTGTTTTATGTTTGAAGTCCATATCTTGTCATACTTAACTGTTCACTAATTTTTGTCAATGAAGTTGACTATTAGTAATATTTGTTGTATGGAAGTACATATTACAGATATGTTTTGCTAGAAATAGAGCATTTAATGCATGCCAGTTTTTCTTTTGAAACTTCTTGGTTCATATACTAAAAAATCCCAAAAATAAATGAAAGCTAAGTGTTTTCTGACAAGTGCAATGACTCTGTAGGATAAGTACTGGACTACGAGCTATAAGATTGGTGGTTTGAGCCCACTAGCTATTCTGCAGGAGAAAATTGCAGCTTTCTGATCCCATGAAGATGTATATAGCCTCAGACACCCCATACATGGTTGCTATGAGTCATAACTGAGTCAAATGGCACTTAACTGCAGATTTGCTATTCAAAATTTTAGGTGTATTTTTACTTGTTTTATCATTTTTCAAAATACGTTATATAATTCATGTCAGAAATTGTGCAAAATTCAACATGCAAATCTGATTCTGTACTCTGCTGGCCTAAGGTACAAAGATATTGAGGATTCTGTTAAGGGTCACTTCAGTGAAGCAAATTTCACAATAAAGTGAGTCACAGAAGTTTTTCAGTTCCCCAGTGCTTATAGAAGTTATATTTTTACCATATTGGAGTCTAATTCATGTGCAATAGCATTATGGAAAAGTTTGAAATATTGTGAGAATTACCAAAATGTGATACAGAGAAATGAAATGAGACATGCTGCTGGAAAAATGGTGTGAAAAAGTCTTGCACGAAATAGAGTTTTCACAGACCTTCCATTTGTTTTTTAAAAACAACTGTATCTTTGAAGCACAATAAAGAGAATTTTAATAAAAAGAAGTATGCCTGTATACCATTGTATAGGTGAGGTAGTATTTGGGGAAATTTAAAGAAACAAAACAGAATTTAATGGTTTACTGGGTTTGTCTAATTTTTTTTTTTTTTTTTAAAGCAACTATATCGGAAAAAACCTGGAATGACAATGTCTTGTGCAAAATTACCTCAGAACGTTTCCAAAAATAGATACAGAGATATTTCACCTTGTAAGTGTTGCCTCTGAATATAATGTTGAGGTTATTCACTGTAGCACAACTTTATTTAAAACTTTCTTTCTTTTTCTTTTTTTTTTTCAGATGATGCTACCCGGGTCATTTTAAAGGGTAATGAAGACTATATAAATGCAAATTACATAAATGTAAGTTAATTTTTATTATGCCTTTGTCAGGTGGGATGTATTCAAGATCATATTTTACTCTCATGAACTTTTTAAATTTTTGGAATGAAAGCTGTAGTTACAAAACTGAGATCGATTCTTTATTTGACGTGAATTCTTTTTTATTTAAACCTTGAAACTATAAGTGCTTCAAAGACTAAAATATAAAAGTAGCATTGGAGAGATCGGGGCAAGATGGCAAGCAGAGTGGACAGACACACTGAGCCCACCCTCTTCAGTAAAGGCATGAGAGAGCGAGTGAAATATATCCCGATGGTGACCTTGGAACCATGACCATCAGAGGACAGGACAGAGAGGTGGATTACATGCTGACTAGAAGAGGAAGCTGAACAGGAGCAGTGAGAAAGACGTAAAAGGGTGAACTGTTAGCAGGTGTTCCATGGCATGGCCATCTTGAGCTTTTACAAGTGTGTGTTGATACAGTGACCTGCGGGCACAGGCTGTGGCTGAAGGTTGGTGGAAGGGGTGCACTTCTTCCTTGCTCCAGTGTCCTCCTGGTAGCCGGGGGGCATGGCTAGTCCCCCACCCTCGCCAACCCAGCGACCAGTGGCATCCATTCCTATGCAGCCTCGGCTCTGCATAGGGTCGGGTGCCGCTTCCGGAGGCGCGTGAATGCACCCTGAACTACACTACACAAACTGTGAACAGAGAAATGCGTTCACACTTTCAATCTCTACCATATCCACCTGGAGAAAAGTGGTGAGTGCCTGAGAAAATACCAATGTACAATCATTAACTAAATATAAGTATTTCTGAATGTTTAGCCACTGAAAACCTTATTAATAGCAACAGAACATTGTTAGACATAGTGCCAGAAGATGAAAACATTGTGGACAGTAGCTGAGCATTGTCAGATACAGTGCCGGAAGTTGACTTTAATGACATAAATGGAGCAAAGCTTTTGAGACCTTCATTTACTGATAGAGCACAACTCACAATGAGAGCAAATAGCTACAAACTCCATTAATGATCCAAACATGGAATGTATGAAGTATGAATCTAGGAAAATTGGTACTTGTCAAAATTTAAATGGAACACATAAAGATTGATATTCTAGGTGTTGTTAATTGCCATTGTCAAGTCTTTCCAACTCATAACAACCATGTATAGGATTTCCAAGGAATGGTTGGTGGGTTTGAACTGATGACTTTGAGGTTAACAGTCTATTGCTTATGCTACAGCGCCACATCAGGACTGCATCGTAGGTATTACAAACTAAAATGAACTGGTGTTGGTCATTTTTAATCCAACAATCATGATTTCCTATACTGGGAATGTCAAAGAAGAATGGCATCCCATTCATCATCCAAAAGGACATTTCAAGATACAACTTGAAGTATAATAGGATTAACCATACTCCTAAAAGGAAGATCAGTTAATAACAAAATTATTCAAATTTACACACCAGCCACTAAAGCCAGTGGTGATGAAACTGAAGGATTCTACCAATTTCTTCTGTCTGAAATTAATTAAACTTGCAATCAAGTTGCATTTATGATTACTGGCAGTGTTACAGTTGGAAACAAAGAGGAGGAAGGATCAGTATTTGGAAAATACGACCTTGATAATAGTAATGATGCTGGCGATCACATGATAGAATTTTGCAAGGCCAACAACTTACTCATTGCAGATACCTTTTTAAGCAATAAAAAGGTGACTATGTACATGGGCCTCACAAGATAGAATACACAGGAATCAAACTTGACTACATTTGTGGGAAGAGACTGTAGAGAAGTTCAGTATCATCAGTCAGAACAAGGTCAGGGGCTTGAAACAGACCACCAATTGCTATATCTTGAATATATTCCCACCTGATTTTAGATGGTATCTCAGGAACAGATTTGATGCACTAGATGCTAATGACTGAAGACCAGAAGTGTTGTGGATAACATCAAGAACATCCTACAGGAAGAAAGCAAAATGTCATTTAAGTGACAGGTAAAAGGAAACTTAGGCAAGATGGTGGAGTAAACAGATACACTGAGCTACCCTCTGCAACAAAGACAAGGGAGATCAAGTGAAATAGATACAGATGATGATCCTTGAGCCTTGGGCATCAGAGGATAGGACAGAGAGTGCTGACTGAATGAGGAAGCTGAACAGAGCAGTGCGAGAGAAGAAAAGCAGTCAGACTGGGGGCTGGCATGAACGCAGCTATCTTGAGCTTTTCATGAGCTGCTGATAGAGTGGCCTGTGGGCACACGATGCCGCTGGAGGGTAGCAAGACGGAGGTAAAAGTTCTCCCTTATTCCCACACCTTCCTGGTAAACGGGACTGTGGCCAGTCCTCTCCATTGCCAACCCAGTCAGTAGCAGTGGCGCCCCCTCCTGCTCTGCTTCTGGCTCTTCTTTCTTGATGATTTTGAGATCCCCCTTTTCAGCTTCTGAGATGGCAAACTGGTCAATCTTCATCCATGTTAGGGTTTCATACAGCCTGTTTGCAGGGTCCCATCCATTCATTTGTTGCGAGTTACAAACACAACAGCTAAAAGAGCCATACCAAGTAATTTATTGCACTGCAGACAGCATGTATCAAAATGTTAAATACACATAAACTGTAATCCAGCATTTTCATTCCTAACTGTTGCCCATACAAATATATTTCTGCATATGCAGAAATCAAACCATAAAAGAAGCTAGGTTTACTGAAGTATTCAGTGCAGCCTGGTTTATGGTAGCAAATAGATTAGCAGCAACTTGAATGCCTATTAAACAAATTATAACATTCCTACAGTTTTTGTTAAGTGTCATCAAGTCGTTTCCTACTCATAGCAACCCTGTATAGGGTTTCTGAGGAGAAGCTGGTGGGTTTGAATCGTCGACCTTGGGGCTCAAACCAACCTTGCAATCCAGTACATTATCCTGCATTGCCACACCAGAAACTATAAATAAAAAATAAATGATTATTTCTCTATTTACCCTTTGATATTCCTTGAATTACCATTTGTATATGTCGCCTACTTCAAAAAATAACACCTGTAAAAGTAGTTACATAAATTGTCAAGCATTCATAATTTTACCTCTTTTTAAAAAGGTATTCATTTAAAATATTTTTACATCCTTCAAAGTTATTTTATCCAAGCTAAAACAAATGACAGAATTTTCAGATTCTCAAAGATTTTGCCAATAAACTGTTTACTAAATATTTTTAATTTAAATTCCTGTTTCTACTAATTGAAAGATAAATATGTATAACTATGAGATGTTACTAAGGAGTTTCTTCTAAAACCAAACACCTTGAATAAGTGAGATGCTCAGCCTGGGAGCTCAGGAACATAGTCAGCTGGTATAATTTAGTTAGTCACCAAAGTTATTCTACATCCTGCTTTGGTGAGTAGGACCTGGGCTCTTAAAAGCTTGTGAGTGGCCATCTAAGGTGAAACAATTAGTCTCTCCCTGTTTGGAGCAAAGAACAGTGAAGAAAATCAAAAGATTCATGGAACTAATGGATCCTGTGAACCCCAGCCTCCACAACCCTGAGAACAGAACTTGATGGTGTCTGCCTATTTCTTGTGACTACTCTGAAAGGGAATCCTGGATAGAGAGAAAATCCTTGATTGAGTGGGAGAAAAATGTGGAACAAAACTCAAAATCATGAAAAAAAAAACAACAGACTTTTTGTTCTGATAGAGAATCCCCAAGGCGATGATCCTTAGATGTTTCAAGCCTAGAATTGAACTCACCTCCTTGACTCAACTTTCAGTCAAACAAGCGTGGGTCTATAAGGTGAACAATAGCATCAGGGAAGTATGCATTCCTTAGAATAATCAGCCAGGGATAAAACTCAGAAGGCCAGAAAGAATAGACAGACGAATGGAAGCAGTAAATTCAGGGAGAAAGGCGGAAGAGTGCTGTTACAATGTGGAGATGGCAGTCAATGTCACAAAACAAAAAGTGTATGAATTGTTGGATGGAAGACAGATTTTCTCTGTAACTTTTACCAAAATAACTAAAAGTTAAAAAAGAAGCAGTTTCCTCTACGTTTAAATATATTATTTTTTTTTGCACCTCGATCATAGCAAAACATTAACTATGCAAAAGATTATATTTATATCCTTTTCTTTTTAGATGGAGATAACTTCTTCCAGCATTATAAATCAGTATATTGCTTGTCAAGGGCCATTGCCACACACTTGTACTGATTTTTGGCAGATGACTTGGGAACAAGGCTCTTCCATTGTTGTAATGTTGACCACACAAGTTGAACGTGGCAGGGTAAGTTATACTTGAATCTTACCCATTGTTTGGTCTTTTTGCTAATTACGTTGCATATATATTTTACCTATTTAAGTTGAATAAGTCTTTTCAGTTTCAGTTAAGTTTAAGCTTCATTTTTTATGGTATCATGATGACAATTATCATGCTAAGTGCCTAAAATTATTATTAATACATGATAAATGTGATATAAAATGAACCATTGTTATCATCCAGATGTTGAATGGATTAACGTCTGTCCAATACTCTTGCAACTTAACAATAAAATGTCCAAAATAATTTTAAATGGGCAAAGGATTTCAGTAGTTATTTTGCCAAAGAACATATACAACTGGCCAATAAACATGAAAAGATGCTCAAAATCATTTAGCCATTAGGTAAATACTATTCAAAACCAAAAGAAACCACTTAATATCTAGTAAAATACCCAAACTAAACTACTGCCATCGAGTTGATTCTGACTCAGAGATTCTATGTGTGGTTTCCAAGGTTATAAATTTTTGAGAGCCAAAAGGCTCATCTTCCTCCCTTGGAGCAGCTGATGGGTTGGAACCAATGACTTTGTAGTTACTTTAATACCCAGTTGTTATTGTTAAGTGCCATCAAGTCAGTTCCAAATCATAGCGACCTTGTATAGGGTTTCCAAGAAGCAGCTGGTGAGTTTGAACTGCCAACCCTGTGGTTCACAGTCCAGTGCTGATCCTATAGCACCACACCAGAAGTTTGGACTCCTTAATACCCAGTTGTTGTTGTTGTTTTTGTTAAGTGCTACAGAGTCGGTTCTGACTCATAGCGACCCTGTACAGGTTTTCCGAGGCTGTAAATCTTTACGGGAGCAGAAAGCCTCATCTTTCTCCCACAGAACAACTGGTAGTTTCGAACTGCTGACCTTGCGGTTCGCAGCACGATTCGTAACCACTACGCTACCAGAGCTCCTTTAATACCCAGTAGGTCGGTTAAAATAAATAGTAGAGATAATAGCCAGTGTTGGCAATGATACAGAGAAAGTTGAACCTTATATATTGCTGATAGGAATAAATCATAGATCTGGCAGTTCCTCAAAAGGTTAAATTTAGTTTCTTTATAAGCCTCACAATTCCATGTAAGTATACCTAAGAAAATTTAAAATACATGGAAACACAAAAACCTGCAGATGAATGTTCATAACAGTATTATTCACAATTCCCAAATAGTGGAAACAGCTCAAATGTCCATCATCTGATGGATGGATAAATAAAATGTGGCATAGTCACACAATTGAATATTGTTTTGTAATAAAAAGGGATCAAAGCCCGATAACATATTTCAGCCTTGAAACCATTATGCTCATTGAAAAGAACCACTCTCTAGAGATGAAATATTGTATCATTCCATTGATATGAAATGTCCAGAATAGGCATGTCTATAAGGACAGCAAATTTATTTTGGAGTGTTTGGAGTGGGAGGATGCAGACTGAAGATTAAGTTTCTTTTGGGGTGATGAGACTATTAAAAGTGATTGTTATGGTTGCAAAACTTGTGTATATATGTTAAAAAAATACTTGTATCTTTTATTTTTGTAAGTGAACAATTAAGTACTTTTAGTTTATTTACAGAGTTGTACACACATTACTGAAATCAACTTTAGAACATGTTATTTTCTTAAAAAGAAACATGTACTTATTAATAGTAACTCCTTTAGTCCATGTTTATCTACTTTCTGTCTCTGTGTTGTTACTGTTAAGTGCCGTTGAGTCAGTTCCAACCCTGTGTGGCAGTTCTACTCTCTCCTAAACAATTGTCATGATACTTCAGAATTGACTCAACAGCAATGGGTACTAAACATCTTAGGAAAGAATAGTTGACAGTTATCTAATTATTTTTCTTTGGGGAAGATTTTCGTTGTTAAGTGCCATCAAGTCAATTTCAACTCATAGCGACCCTGTATAGGGTTTCCAAGGAGCAAATGATGAGTTTGAACCCCTGACCTTGTAGTTCTCAGTCCAGTGCTTATTCTACATTGCCACACCATGAGTCCCTTCTGTCTCTGTAGATTTGCCTATTCTGGACATTACATATCAATGGAAACACAAAATGTGTCTTCATATAAATGACTTCTTTTACTTAGTATGATATTTTCAAGATTCATTTGTATTGAAACATGCCAGTAACTTAATTTATTTTTATTGCCAAATAACGTTCCATTGTGGAGCCCTAGTTGGCACTGTAGGATTCCACAAGGTTGGTAGTTCAAACTCACCAGCTGCTCCTTGGAAACCCTGTACACAGGGGTGAGGAACCTTCTTTCTGCAAAAAATGTATAACATTATTTGCAGGCCATACAATATTATCAACATAAAAATGAGCCTGCTATTGGCTATCTAAAATGGTGGTGGTGATGTACCATGAGTGGGGGGTGATAAAGGCACTAAGTGACTGGTTTACAAGGTTTCAAGAGGGACTTTAGTTTAAGAGTGTTGGTGGAAAGGTAGAGTCCCCACTGAATAGTTTTCACCTTGTCTAGATGGGTCTGGTAAAAAGAGATGGGGATAAGATTCTTAGGATTCAATAGTGAGTAATTGTTTTCATGACTAATTTTACTGTCACAATTGTAAAGGTAGAAATTTTATAACAAAAACAGGGGAGTAGTTAATCTTACAGTCCAGAAACAGAGGACCATAGGACCATCAAGGGAGAAGAGCACAAGTGGAATGTGAGACCCTATCCAGAGAAGCAGTGACACCAGAGATGGAGGCAGAGATGAGGGCATGGAGAGAGGGAGCAGCTGAGGACTCTGAACTCATGAAAAGAGAGGGACTGGGTGCTGACAGCCAGGATGCAGGCTTGCTGAATGTGCCCTTTGGTTGTTTAAATTATTAGATAGTCCTGAGTGTTTTTGTGTACATCCCTCCCCCCTCCCCCCAAAACAAAACAAAACAAAAAAAACCCCAGAAAGATTGGAAGCAAATACTGTCGAATGATGATACACGGAGGAGATTGTGATCATTACAATGAAACAATGGTATAAAGCCGATGTTCTCTTACGTAAACTATCACTCAGTTCACAATAAAAACTTAAAAAAAAAAATTAGCCTGCTATATTTGGTCAAACATTTAATGAACCTCATGCCTAATGTGATGGCTGGAACCGTGGTTGCCTTGGCAGGGCCAGACCAAATGATTTCGCCAGCCTTATACATCCTGTGGGCTGGACATTCCCCACCCGTGCTATACAGGGTTGCTGTGAACCTGAACTGACTCAACAGCGCTTAACAACAACAATTTTCTGTTGTATGTTGGTGTTAAGTTCCATTGAGTCAATTCTGTATAGGGTTTCTGAGGAGTGAGAACTGGTGGGTTTGAATTGCCAACCTTGTGGTTAGCAGTTCAGTCAGTATCCTACAGTGCCACACCAAGACCCCACTGTATAGATACACCATATGCATACATCCTCCTCACTCATTGCCATGATTAGGTTCCAAAGACCAGGTCCTTTTTTAGAAGTCAGCATTATGGAAAAACAGAAGCATGACTATCAGATCACAAACTGAAGGATGAAAAAAAAACATCAAATTACATCATGAAATAAATGCTAAGCCACTGAGAATCGTGGCCCTTAACTATCAACAGCCAATGTTGTTCTTGCCTCTCATTTTGGTGTTTCTTACTGCAAGATCTGCAGTTAATGTGTGAAATAATCACATAATAGATTTTTTTTTCTTAAATGTTTTATTGTGAATTATGTGATAGTTTACATGGGAGAACATTAGTTTTACATTCATTCTATCTTATATCATCTCATTGCCATGGTTACAGTCCCCTCCATGCAGTCCT